AAGGTATGAAAAAAGCTACCTTTCTGATAAAGGTAAAATTTCTATTGAAGACTGTAGGTTCTTTTTGTCTGCCTAAAGTGACAACGTTCTACACAATCTACACTTTTTGGAAAGAAGAAAAAAAATTTCAAGTACATTCTTGTGAACTTCAGGAGTTCATTTTTAATATGTTTTCCCAGAAGTTATGTTGTCAAAATGTAACACAATAGCTGTAGCCTTGCTGTGTCATCACAATGCATAACATAACTTCAGATTCATTCTGTTTTCTTGAATAAATCTAAGGTGGAATTGACAGTTGAGTGTGCTGATTTTAATTACATGAACCAGGACTCTTTCAAGCTCTCTGTATAACTAGTTATGACCCACTGCATAAATGAAAACGTTAAACTGCTATTTAACCTGCTACTTACGTTACCTTACAGAGTTTTAGGATACATTTCAACTGCTATCATGCTGTTTCTTTAAACTTGAGATTTCCTAAGTTAACTAAAAGAAATGTCTGAAGGCAGATCATACTTAACAATTTCCCCCTCGGATTATTTTAAAAAGTGCTCCAAAATAAGGCCTCAAATACCTATTTCAAGGTCCTCTCTCTCATTGCTTGGCGTATGTTATTCTAAAGAGTAATAAAATAACTTAGTTTTGCTTATTGCAAGGATGCTACTAGTAAGTGAATATATAGACCGTAAACTTTAAAGATTTAACAGATTAATTCTAATTATAAGCAAGACTGGAGGACACTGCAAGGCAAAGTGACCAAGTGACAGCACATCAGATGTAACACAGCTTAAAAAAAAAATTACAAGAAAAAGATACAACGATAATCATCCGTTTAACTATTTTTGCACAGGTAACAGTGCAAAGTTCAAGCTAAATTCAAAATTAATGGTACACCACATTTTATTTCTGAAGATTCAACATATGATTAAAATGAAACAAAAGGGAAAAAAAAAAGGAAACTGTTTCATTTCCAAGAGGAAGAGTTCATTAAATGGTCCAGAAACATCCTTTATTACAAAATGGTTCTCTGTATAAAGCTTGTAAAGCTACATGAAATATGAAGAGTACTAATGCCTGAAACGCTTCAGTGAAATAAAATCAGATGCTCAAAAAAAAGAAAGGTCTCTCATTAGTAACTGAAATACCACCAGTAATTACCAGATTCCCTCCGGCTATTGAGAAACCAGGTGTCTGAAGTCTAAATTTTGGCTAATGTTGCCTATACAAATTCCAACATGTACTTTCTGTTTCAGAACACCTCTACATTTAAGGAGGCAAGTATAAACAAAAGTCCTGTGATTCTCAAACGCTCTGAGATTTAGTATAGTTGCTCCTTTACCTCTGTAAATTATACAAGGCTAAATACATGACATATAAAAAAGCATGCATAGTTAAGGAGTTTTCCACTCAACCAGCCACTGTAACAATTGTGAGCAGGATATCTCAATTATCAGATTATATAACCCCTACCTTATTCTTGCACTTGTTAAATCATGGAACAGACAGGAAGAAAAGGTATTTCATCCTAAGACAGCACAAGAGATCTCCCACAATATTCGTGTCAGCCCATCCTGGATCTTATGAAAGTCCCTACAATCTCTTCTTCACATAGTATGTTTCGAACATTCAAAAACTGCACTGTAATTTTCAAACCTATGTTGGTTTATTTTCATTTTGGATTTTTCAATTTTTGATTTTGCCAGAGAACAGATAGTACAGCTGTAGGATGAGTTAAAATTCCCTTGAGAGAGCTCCTAGTATTAAAAAATAAACCTAAATTTGGAAATGGTGGTAAACTCATTGGTTTAACATGATGCACCTGTTTTCTTTGTTTGCAGATACAACACGTATCAAAGCTGTACCAGAGACATCCTGCAGCATGCAAGAAATCATTCTAATTTACTGTCCAAATGAGACAACACCTGATAACTACAAGTAAATACATTTTCTTAAAGAGCTCTCTGCATGTCTTGAATCCATTTGAATAGTATCTCACTAGAACAATGGATTGCTTGAATTTTAAATAAGATGGAAAATGTTAAAACTACAAACTGACCAGTTAAAACATCAAGAGATCCAAATTCCTGTCTATAGGGAGAGCTAAATATATTGCTAGGGATTTTCTTATTAAATTAAATAGGAATATCTCTCTTCCTTTTTCTAAGTAAATGACAAAAAAAGCAATACTGGAACAGTACAGAGCCAGCTTCAGTCAAAATAATGTGAAATCCATAAGACTGACAAACCGAGTAAAAAGGTATTTTTCCCCTACTCTCTTCCAGATAGGCAATTTTATTTACAAAAATCTTACATAATATAAAGGTTTTCTTTGAATAGGCTTATAATATTCCTTTAAAACTATCTGGAAAAAACTGTTTTGCTCAAGATCAAATACTGTTCTTATATGCAGTTGTTGAAATAATTCTGGCTATACCAAATTAGCAGAATAAAGAATTTCACCTCTGGATTAGTAATTGGAAGAGAAATGAAATAATTTGGCTGATACTGTTTTTTCTTTTTCTTCTTTCTCTCACTGTCTTCTTCAATTTCCTTCCCAGTAGTCCTCTTTCTTTTCTTTTTTATATTTATTTCAGAGGTTGTGTGCACTGAAGAGATAAAAAAATTACTTTCAGAATGCAGACAAATCAAAACAAAAACACAGTACCATGACAACAGGAGCTGGACTTCAGTTAACTGACTGGAGGGTGTCTTGCCAGTCATCTAATCTGCCCATGCTCTGAATTGACAGATTGAGATCCTACTCCAACCTGAATTAATGTAGTCATACAAGTGGAGCACCATACTTGAATTAACAGCCAACACTACTAATTAGAGTTTACAAGCTGCTAACACCAACATGCAGCTTCCAAACTACTGTATTTCATATAGCCAACTCACACTCCAGTGTAATGGACCTGCAAATTGTCTACACTTGAATATGGACATGGCTTTAGAGCAAAAGGGCCAATATGAAGTTTTAAAAATCCCATGCATGCTGCATTTTGAAATAGAAAGCACAATAATACATAGGATTATTAAAGAAAAATGTTGTATTAGACTAGGACTGGCCAACCTGTAGTTCAAGGATCAAACCCAGCCCAGAAGAAAATTTAATCCAAGTGAGATCTATTCTCTATCTCCTTTCCCAAAGACACCTTCCAACACAGTGAAAGAAAAGTGCATATCCTCAGTTCTTTTGCACCATAAATTATTTTTCTCCTGTCTTATTTCCTCAGGCCTTTGCAGACCCTCTCCCACCATGTGGCCTGATACATACCCATAAGCTGACCAGGCTGCAGACTCCACTGTCTAATTAGAGGTGTACTTCTAGCCTCATGTTGGGAATATACATATTGGAAGACAGCTCACAAAAGCAGTGACTTGAGAAGTTCATATACAGTAATGCGACATATGAGGTGTCTTCATTCTGTGACTCATTGCTGCAACGGATCCCCAAATGGTATATTTTTAATATACTCAAGTATTTGCAGGACTGTGTGCTAATAAGAGAGACTCTGGACTGAATCCTGTTTGCAGGAAGACTCTGTTCCATGTTCACAGCCCACTATGTGCATGATGTGTCTATGCTTCCACACTACTGTTTAATGTACTTACTAACAAATTTATCCTCAATATCTGTGTCGATAAATGGCATTTCTGCCATCAGAGAGTCTATTGAATCAGTAGGACATGGCTCTTCTGTCTGTTTTGTCTCTTTCTTATTCTCTTCAAAGATTTTCTTTTGCTGTACATTTTCCAGCCCATCTGCAATATATTTAAAATAACACACTGGGTCTTAGGTTTTGACGGCAAAGAGACATTATACACAGGCAACATACCAAGTACACATTTCTCTAATTATCAGCAAATAAATATTGACATATAACCCCCTTAAGAATGCTGCTCTTCTTCCTTCTCAACGTATCAGCAAAAATACTTTATTGCTTTATGTGGAATAGCAAGAACAAGGGACTTCAGCATTCTGTATTTAATAGCTTCTGGTCTTGTCTGGTTCTAAGTAAAAGCAATTATATGCAAAAAAAAAAGAAAAAGATACAACTGAGCATAAAAAAAAAATAGTCTTCAGACATCACATAACATTCACTTTAGAAAACAGCAATGTCATACAAATTCAATGCAGAGAAACACTGGCAAATGCATTCCAATGTGTAAACACACAGAAAATGAGGCTTGAAGGAACAGGAAGGGAATTCTACCACTCCACATATAACAGTTTTCAGCTCACTCTATCATTTAGAAATGAGACGATTATTCTATCCCTGCATCTCCCACACCATAAAACATATTACAGACAGCAATGATCTGAACTTCTCGCTCTGAAAACTGACATTTATTATTTAAGCTAAAGAAGGAATCAATGGAAATCAGACTTCATCTTGAATGTCTAAAGATACACATGAAGTTCTACCTCAGAGTAATATCACAATGACAGAATAACCTCCACTAACAAGTTTTTAAAAATGTCTTTTTTCCCCAAGAGTACTAACTAAGCATGAGTCATTTCCTTAAGAATGTTTCTGCATCAGTAAACTCTAATATTGGCATATTAAGTTACATCTTAAAAAATGGAAGAGTAAAGTCTTCTCTAGCAGCAAAAAAATGTGCACATAACCAGGCATCCAGTAATACTCTTTTGGGACAACTTCACAATGGGATTACTGTAGTGGAAAAAGCCTTATGTCAGAATTGCAGTTTATCCCAGGACAGCTCATTACTACAGACAACGTATTTTCAAAGCTCCTTTTGTGACCAGTGCAGATAGTCCAAATCTGGCCCAAGGGGAAAATTTGGCAGCAAAAGTGTGTATTATATTCCTGGGGCATGCGAAGCTACACTACATATATAAAAATCAACATTACAGACCCACTCTGGGTTATTATCATCCTGTGGAATGTTTCTTGCATACATCACTTTATGCTAGGGAAGCTAAGTAAAAGAAGAACCTGATAAAATGCTAATTCACTCCAGTCTACAGTGGGGAGGCATAATCACTCTGTGGTTGTGGTCTGACACCTAACTTTATCCTGGAGGCTATTAAAGAAAAACAAAGCACTTAGATTTGTCGCTTGTCCCCTCTGTTGGAACTAAAGAAGTATGCACAACAAACAGATGTTAATGCAATAATGAAATTATTATTTAACATTTAGATTAAAGCTCACATGAAACACATTGTTGTCAGTGACCCACGAGCATATAGGAAACAATAACCCTTCCTTCAAAGAGACCTCGAAGTGAAGGACAAGACAGAAATCCATGAAATCGACAAGCAAATAGGTCAGTCTGGGGCAGAAAAGTTATCAACACCACTGAGAAATGCAGAATCAGTACCAGCTAGGAGCAAAAGGGATTTTTTTAAGGTAGCATCATCTACAGAACAAGGACTCTATCAATCTGAAGGACGTATATTGCAGATTAAGTGTTTTCTTTGCTCTCTCTGCTCAAAAAGCAACACACTTGTGCTACTTTGAAACATTTTGTCTGCTCACAATAGCAGACACAGAGTACAGCAAATGCACGATAGTAATTAAAAATGTCCCCTCTCAAATCAATTAGCTGGACAGAACAGGCACTGCTGCTAAATTCTACAGGTTGTGCCTCCAGAGAAAGAAAAAATGTCTCTATCCCTTCCCTTTTCTGAAACAATTATTAAATAAATCAGAAAAAAAAAAAAAAACCAAAAAAAAAACCAAAAAGAAACCCCCCAAAAAAACCCAAAACAAACCACAAAACAAACCACAAACCAAAAACAACCGAGAACTGTGTTCTAGTCACTAAAATAACCTTAAAACAAGCTTTTTCAAAATTCTTGACGTAATGTTGATAATCTGAGACCTCGACTAACAGAATCACCTTCCATAGGAACTCCTTGATCATCAAGCTGTTAGAAGATGAACTCCTTTTTCTTAATTGCATTCTTAATTATATTAACCTGAATTTCAGATATGAACAGGTCTATACGTTATTCCCACATTTGTATTTGTTTAAGTGGCTGCTGATCTTCACTAATATTTAAGTCAACTGTTCCAGCATAAAACAAAACAAAACAAAAATCATTATACACTTAGCTCATAAAGGAGAGAATACAAAAAATAAGAAACAATAACACGTATTTGACTGCACCCTGTTCCCAGCTCTCTTCCCTCCACACGTAGATTATAGTTTCAGATAATTTCAAATAATCTTCTATTATTCGACACCTGCACATCACAGATCACAGTGAGATTAGGTCTCCAGGCACCATTCCCTGTTTAGTAAGTTTTTAGTAAGTTTATGTTAATGTTTAATATGTTTATGTTACACACAGCACAAGCGGTTATGGCTTTAATCTGAAAGAGGGTAAATGGAGATTAGCTATAAGGGAGAAATTCTTTACAGTGAGAGTGCTGAGGTGCTGGCACAGGTTGCCCATAGAAGCTGTGGCTGCCCCATCCCTGGCAGTGTTCAAGGCCAGGTTGGACGGGACTTCCCAGTATTGTGGAAGGTGGCCCTGCCTGTGGCAGGGGGGTTGGAACTGGATGGTGTTCAAGGTCCCTTCCAACCCAAACCATTCCATGATTCTATGTTCATATGCTTAATATGCTTATGTGCCTGTGTTTAATAACAAATTAATCGTTTGGACACAATTTAACTGAAATAGATGGTCTTAGTCTCCAGGCATTTTGAACCTCTGGTGCTGGCGCCAGTGTTTACATCGTTAGAGAACTGAAGAATATTGAAAAAAAAAACAAAACAACAACGACAAAACCAGAAAAATTTAGGGAAAAGACCTGCAGATTTATTATCCGGCCAGGTCAGATGTTTGTGCTGACTGCAAGTCCAGAGACAGAGCAGGGCAGACGGGCAAAACAAACCCCAGACTTTTTAGCGACAGCCCGCACTTAGGATGAATCATTTTCCCCTACGATCTCCACAGATCCTGCTGTGAAACCTTTCCATCCGATT